GGAGAGGTGAGAGGGGGGGGGAAAGAGGGAGGGAGGGAGAGTGAGAGAGATTGGTGGGGGGAATGAAGGGGGGAAAGCAAGAGAAAGAGGGAGAGAAGAGCTGGGCGAAGAGAGAGGTAGCAGAGTAGGAGGCTGTCACTGCCCTATCCCAGGTCTCCAGTCTAGGTCACCATCACCTAAACACATCTGCAATAAAGTCATCAGAGCTTGCTGGACTTAGCCTCCAAGAGCCCTTCTGTAGAAATAAAACCTAGGCTGCCTGCCCTTTCTGTCACTGGTTTTGGTCGTGCTTTCCCTTGTGATGATTCTGCACAGTCTCATCTCTCACTCTGCCTCCTTTGGCTCAAGTTTCCACCATAACATAGCCACAGTCTCCTGGTTTCCCAGCACCCGTGTGCTGACTGTCCTCCAGGCTTGAGAGAGCCTGTTGGCCTGTGGTGTTGCAAACAGTGGGTACACGCTGGGACTCTGCTAAGAGAGAAAGCTAAAGAATGGCCCACAGAGAGTGTATGCCTGTGGCCAACACCAGGAAAACTAGGGATTGCTTATATTTCTTTTATAAAACAATTCTCCACTGTGCCTCCCTAGGGAGGGCATGAAGCACTGTGTGTGTGTGTGTGTGTGTGTGCGCGCATGCATGCATGCACACACACTCATGTATGTGCAAGCACAAGTACATGAATGTGTTGAGGTTGTGTGCATGAATATGTATGTGTATGTGTGTTTAGCAGGGTGTGGTGTAGGCTGGAAGGGGTGGGCAGGCTGAGCCCAAGAGTTCTCATCTGCACCCACCTTTGACCATATCTAGCCACCAACATGCACTATTAGTTGCTCAATATTTTTCTTTCCCTTAACTCACCTTTTTTTCTAGACCTACTTTAATGCTAAATTTTATGGACTCTGATAACACTAAGCAATTCACAATTTTAGATGTTACCTATATCTTATATTTTTATTAGACTGAAACCTATATTTTAAACTTTAAAATGCATAACTATTCTTAGGAACATTTTCGCAGTTAGGTAAATATATGATTATATAAATTAAGATTATTCATCCTGTGCCATCCTAAATTACCTTGCACACCTACATGAACCAAAGGTTCACATAACATATTATGGGAAGTATAGACAGGAAGCCTGATTCTCTGTTCACCCTCCATGGTGACAGGCTGTATTTGCTTTCTAGGGATGCTGTAACAAAGTACCACATACTGGGTATTTTAAACAATAGAATCTTATTGTCTCACAATTCTGGAGGTGAGACATCTGGAATCAAGGTGTTGACAGGAAAGGTTCTCTCTGAGGGCTGTGAGGGAAGGACCTGTTTCAGGCCTCCATCCTTGGCCTGTGTCTTCTCCCAGTATGTCTGTGTCTAAATTGTTTCTTTTTATAAGGATACCAGTCATTTTGGATTATGCCTACCCTAATGACCTCATTTTAACAGATTGTCTCCAAATAAGGTCACATTCTGAGGTGCTGAGAGTTAAGATTTCAACATGTGAACTTTAGGGGACACAGTTCAGCCTATAACACAGGCCCTCCCTGAGTCCACCTCTGCTCCCTCTGTCTATAGGCAAGTTGAATTCTAAAGAGTGCCTGCCTGAGCAAGACATGTCTAACGTGGTGTATATTCAGCCTAACAGGCAAATGGGGGATATGTTGGCTGCAATGTTTCCCAGCATCATGCCTACTGCAAGAAGCTTCTTATCTCATTACAGCATTGGCATTAAAACCTCATAACTGGTATAGCCAGTAGCTGAATGCTGGCAGTGTAATAGCACTTTGGGCACTGCCACCATGCTGTTTGAAATGTTAAGGTTTGATTGAGAGGTGTGAAACCTTCTATTCCTTCTGCGGTTTTCAAATTCTGCTCAATGGAACCCAAAGGCTGAGGAGGGTATTTATGGTACTGGGGGAGGAGTTAGGGTACTCAGTGGCAAACTCCAGCTTCTATCAGACAAAAGTAATCTGGGTTTTCATCCATTTTTCAATTGTTCTTTTATGTTTTTTTTGTTGTTGTTGTTGTTTTTAAAGACAGGAATCCTTTGCTAGAAACTCTAAATACTGTCTGCTTCATCTACGCTCTATGTTTGTTGGTTCTCTCTCCTAAGTATATTCTGATTATTGCCACTCCTCATAGCCTCTTGAGACTGAGCACCTGTCACTTCTCACCTGGATGATTGTGCCAGCCCCCACTTCCTCCCTGTTCCCTAGCCCAGGGCTCAGCAAGTTTTTCTGCAAAAGACCAGGTAGTAAATCTCGTGGGCTCTGTTGACCATATAGTCCCTGCTGCAGTGACTGAACACTTAATCAAGTCGGCTGTGGTGGCACCAGTGTAGCCTTAGGTAACAAGTAAATAAGCAAATGACTGTGCTTTGATAAAATTGCTTAGGAAAACAGATAGCAGGCTGGATTTAGACTGTGGGCCATAGCTTGCCAACCCCATCTTACTTCATGGCAACAGGGATCTTTTTTCTCTAGCTTTGTTGAGACATAATTGATATACAATATTGTTTCAGTTTAAGCTGTTGATTGGATACATTTATAAATTGCAAAATGATTACCACCAGCATTAGCTATCACTTCCATTCTGTCATATAATTACCATGTCTTTCTTGTGGTGAGAACATATAAGATCTACATTCTTAACAACTTTCAAGTATATAATACAGTAGTATTAGCGATAATCATCATGCTGTACATTAGATCCCCAGAATTTGTTAATCTTATAACTGGAAATTG